AACAATCTTGCTTTCTCCATGGCGAGAATTAGGTTTAGAGCCTGGAACTAGAGAGAGTCCCTAATTCTAGACTTAATCCAGGGACACAACTGGGTTCAGAGGAAGAACTATTTTATCATATGTGATAGATGCTTGGCGTCAGATGGGAGTAGGAAGATGGAATGAGGATGCCAGTCTCTCTCACATCTTTTCTGTGTGTGAGCTACACCATGTCCGGTGGGATGGCGTCACCGCTTTCAGTCTTCATTCAGAAGACAGGGAGAAAGGTCACTTGAACCCACCATGCTGAGCATCAGGTCTCTGTTGAAATGCTGCTAATGTGGAGAGGCCTCTCCTGACCTCCTTTAGCAGCTCACTGGGCACCTGTTTCACCTTGCCATGTTCATCTTCATCAGAGCACTTGTCACTAACTCATACATTCTTGTTTACTAATCTCAGGGGAGGGGTGTTGTGAATGATCTCTCTGCCTGCCTCCCTACCTCTAGTAGAGTATAGTAAGTTCCATGGAAGAGTGACCTCATCTGTCTTGGTCAGCGCAGCAACCCCAGCACCGAGCACAAAAGGATCTTTGCAGACACGCTCAGTGTTTGTTGAATGAATAAATAAGTGTAAATGGATGGGCAATCTCAGACCCTCTTCCCACACCTTGGCTGCTGCCTGCCCTCATTTCCCTCCAAGCACACACCAGTTGCCTTCAGCATTAACTGGGCTGTGATGTCTGGTGTGATTTATTAGGTATTCGAAGGCATGGTTTCATGCATCCCCTTCTCAGGCTTCCCACCTGAGATGTTGACTGGGTTTAACCTTTTGAGGAAAGGTGTGCAACACTCTTCACTTCCTTTTCATGAAGCAAAATTCATCATCTTCTAGATCACTATTTCCACCATACACCCCCACCACCCAGAGGCACACATGCATATTCTTCTCATTTAGATTTTTTGCTTATTTGCTTGTCTGGCTATAAATAAAACTGCACTTTGATTTGCATTCTGGTTCTTTCCTGTACAGAACTTGGGAACTCTGTCAATAAGTGGGGGTGGGAATTTCTGACAGGTCAAGATGTGGAAATTCCTGAATACCTAGCAATGATACCATTAAAATAGACCCAAATACCATACTGTTTCGCTCTAGTACAAAAATTTGATCATAATTTTCAAACCAAACAGATCTCTTGTCACATAATGGCTGATAATTTTGCAACCTGTGTGGTAAAGCATATTGTCCTCAGTGGGTTCCCATTTCAAACTTGGCACCTAAAACCTCTGATATCACAATTTCCCTCACCATTTATTTTTTATAAACATATAATGTATTTTTATCCCCAGGGGTACAGGTCTGTGAATTACCAGGTTTACACACTGTGAAATGATTTTAAGTCGCAAAAAGAACAGCTGAAGGGAAAGACTAAAGCCCATCATCATATCAGGACTCTGAAAATGTACCTCGAGGACCAAATAAGAATGGAAGGACAAAGGTGGCAGGGGCTAGAAGTCTTCGTCCTTAGAATCCGCCATCACCACCCCATTCATGCCCCAACTAGTGCTGTCCCTCTGGAATGAGGTTTTATGGTTACTCTCTATCCATACGAGCAGACTCATCTTAATGAAACATTGTGACTGTCACTTTTACTACTCTGCCTTACAGCATGTCAAAGATCATTTACAATCGTTTTGAGTTGTAAATTGTACCTGGTCTAAATAAAGTGGACTTTATGGCAAAGCTAGGAAATTATTTCAGATCTTCATAACTCTTTGGACACTTACCTTCAAAAAGTCTGTCTGTGGCATCTTAATTGTTTTGCTGACTGAAATATTTGCAATTAATGTAAGACAAAGTAATTTTCCAAAATACAAGTTAACCAGATATCCTGAAATTAGTAATGAACACTCCTACCATACTTCCTCTTCATAATATGTGCCAAACTGCAATTCATCCGAAATGAAATTTTGTGTAATTGAATATTGCTTGGGAAAAAAAAAAAAGTGGCCTAAAAGGGACTTGAAGATTTTTGCGCTACTGATGCTTGCTGATTTCAGGTTTAATTTATATTATTTTTTATTGTTTCTGTTACTTTCTCTCAAGCTGTAGGAAATCTTTCATCCTTAAGATAGACCACAAAATAAGCTTAAAGTAGATTCAGAAATAAAATTCTAAAAGACATTTCAGTAGATTTTGGAGCCTTTGATAAATTCAAATCTAAATAAATCAAGATATAAGACAAGTAAAACTTCAGTCACATTTGTAATCACAATCTAATATGCTAAAACTAACATGAGATTTGAAATACATACATCAAAGTCTTTCTTGGGAAAAAAAGTAACAAAGTAAAAATGTCCAACAGACAGCCTATTACAGTGTAGTGTGGACAACACTGGCCTGTGACATAATGTAGACCTCTGTCACCTAAATGCTAAGTAATGAGCTGCGCTGGACAGCTCTGTTTCTGTTTTCCAGCAAGAAAATTCTATGACACTACAAGCATGGAAAGTGGACAGAAAGTTTAAAAATGTAGCACCTAATTTCACTCAGAGTAAGAAATGGCCTCATACTAGCTTCAACACAAACCATGAGAAAGCAGAAGAAAAATGCTCCATTATTTTATTCAAGCTATTTTCCCTCATATTTATTTCTCCCTTCATTTTCTTATTCCAAGTTTGGCATAATAAAAATTAGAGAGAATTTCCTCTCAATAATTACCCAGCTGGCACTACCATTACTGGCAGCAATGTCTTCAAGCTAACAAAGATCTGGTTGAGAACAACTGAAAAGTTGCAAGAGCTTAATCAAAAGCCTGTTTATAGGCAGCACACAGAAGTGTTCACACATCCTTAATTCCTTTTTTTTCAGACCTTTGGATGGGGCTCCTTATAGGGCCACCCCAGCCGTTTACCTGAAAGATACTGCCTGGTACTTACTACGAAGCAGTAATATCTCCACATAACCTAACACCCACCTCCCACTCTCCTACCCCCAAGGAGCCTATTTTTGGAATTCTATTTGGGAAAAATAAAAGGCGAACTTATAAGTTTAAATACTAGGAGACGCACAGTCTACAGCCCTCCTACCTCCTACTTGCATATATATATCTGCTCATTGTTTAACTATGAAGTTATACCACATTATAAATGATAGAACAAACTCAATGATAAAACGGAAAGAATGGACCATCCTTCCTAACACTGCTGGGTTTTTATAATTCTTACAGAACTTTCTGAAGTTTCTGCATCTCGGTTTCTAGACTTAAGGGAAGATAAAACTATTTCTGAAGAGCCAACTAGTTCAATCCAAACAAACAGGCTGAGAGAGAGGTGGTAGGTGGCAGGGGAGGCAAAGGAAGAGGCTGCCTTTCAACTAGAGATTCTGCAAAACCACAACACACCTGCACCATTAACAAGTCACTGGTGGGACTGTGAAGACGTGTGGTTGGCTCTGTCTCCAGAAGTATGAGATCGTGCCTATCAACTGCTGAAACTGGACAAGGCAGCCTCCGCTGAGCAAGTCAGGGGGCTAGGACTCCACATCAAGGACCCTCATCTTTGCCCTGTGTGGGCAGCTTGGGGAGGCTGCTCCGTCACCCTAAGCCCCTTCTTCTCTATCAGTAAAATACGAGTTGTAATATTAACCTGCCTGACAAAACTCTTACAGGATTTACTAATAATAGGGATAATAAAATAGTTGTAAAATTTAAGTGCCATAGAAATGCTAAATTATATGAGCCGGGCCTGCCAGGGCAGTCCGTTTCTCTTCTGATATCATTTAAAGCATATTTACGGGTGTATTATCTCTTTCATGATGCCAAGGAGACAGTGGCTTCATGAAATATTCCTAGCCTAGGAAGGGTAACAGGAAATGCTTCAACTACTCTGCCAGGGATTAGGAAACACTCTCACTTACATTCTTGCACTAGATCTTCACAATGAGCCTGTGGAATAGACTGGGCAGACAAAATCATTCCCATTTTACGGAAAAAGAAACTGAGGCCCCAAATTGTTCACTAGCACAGCCCAAGGTCATTTAGGAAAGACCCCATGCTCGAGTTCAAGTTTCCCCACTCCTGGCCCTGCCCCCTGTTTTATTTATTTTTTTTTAAAGATTTTATTTATTTATTTGACAGACAGAGATCACAAGTAGGCAGAGAAGCAGACAGATAGAGAGAGGTGGAAGCAGGCTCCCTGCAGAGCACAGAGCCCGATGTGGGGCTCGATCCCAGGACACTAGGACCATGACCTGAGCTGAAGGCAGAGGCTTTAACCCACTGAGCCACCCAGGTGCCCCCCTGCCCCCGTTTTAATTCACTGCACCACCTATCAAAATGGGAAGGAATGGCAATTGCTTGATGGATTAATTGTGATGTTGATTTATTTCTGCTCACAGCTGCTGAGCCCTTGCTTTGGTTCCCTACATTATCACCTTATTTAATCTCCCACTTGGGAGGAAGGTATAGTTTCTTTAAAAAAGTTTCATTGATCACCTCTGTTGCAAAAGAGAGAGAGAGAGAGCGCGCGCTTCTTCTACTACACATACCATTTTCCTTACAATTCTCATGCAAAATAGATATTAGCCCATCCTCTAGTTTAGATACATTTCCACAGGTACACTACATTGTGGTGTCCTCAAGAACAGCAAGGACACCAATCTTTGCATCTCCCGTGCTACTCGGAGCAGCACAGTATGCATCACAGATGCTCAATGAAGATGTTCTGCTTGACTGATTACAGGTATGTGATTTTTAAGAAATACTTATATGGAGCCAACTTCCACAGTAATAAATATTTTACATTCCTGAAAATGAGAAATCAAAGCTCTTTGGTTATTTGAGTGAACACCACATTAGCTGATTACACTTCTGCTTACCATTATTTGAAGCCTCTGCTGTACCTTCGAAATAGATGTCTTCAAGGCATAGAATATGCCAGTGGAAATCATGTTATCGTAAGAACAAGTATGTCCCATGCGGCTGATGCGCTCACCCAGAGCCTTTTTGCCTGATGGCTGCTTACCTGATAACATATTGTCTGTTTTTATTGAGGGGAACTTCAAAGTCATTTCATGCTTGTGTCTATGAATCATCAGATGGTCCTCTGTGGGGAAGCGCTGTCAGACAAATAGAAACAAAAAGGGGTGGGGGAGGGGAAAGGAGCCATTCAGTTTTATAATGCATATTTGCCATCACAGAGAAAAAGTTGTATTCAGCATTGCACATGTGACAGGCAAAACAAAAAATCAGTTCTGAAAAAGTGTGAAAGCTTGCTAAGTTAAATGCCAAATTATTTTTTGCAAGCAAATGTGCTGAGATGTTCCTTTGAATTGCACCCAAATATATGCATCATTATTTCCTTTACAGTTTACCAGGGGCTTAAATAGGTTACAATAAAATCTGGCTGAATAGTAATAAGAAATAGGAGACCTTTGCCTGCCATCATCTCTGACTCCTCACACCTTCCCCAGGAATTCCTTGCAAAGGCCTCGACTTCCTAAATAGTCTTTGAATATCATCAGCTGTGAAGACTCATCAGTCAACTGGGTATTTCCTTAGGAACTAGAGGTTTGCATCTGGGGAAGACTTTAAATTTGTGTTTAGTTAAAGAATAAGCGAGAAAAAGGTAATGAGCAATGCTGAAAGTATTCAAATATTCTATGCAATAGAACTATGCTATACCTTCGAAGAATAAGAGTGTTTGGATGAATGCTCATATACACAAAGAAATTAATGGTGACATCATGACAAAGTAAATTCTCTCATTTTTACCTATATATGAGAAGAAAATATGTCCAAATAGAAAAATGAATTTAGACCTAAGTAGCACTGGAGTTTCGCAAGATTATTTGGAACTTTTGTCTCGTAGTTACTGTTCTATGTAACCATATAAAATAGTATACTACAAAATAGTATGAAATAGTCTAAGCCATAATAAGTATGCTAGATGTTATCTATAGATTAACCAGAAGTAGGAAAAATGCATGAAGTAGGAAAAGAATTTTGATTCATGTCAGACATTGGGAAAGAATTACATGTCATGCTTAACTGTTTGACATAAACACCTACAAATATGCCTGTAACATTTGTATAGTATGTTCTGTTCATGAAGGCCTTGCACACCACACTCATTATGTGATCTTTTAGAAGTATACAGATGACTTATAGTCATATGACAAAGATTTTTAGTATTCTATATTCTGTACCATGTAGTAAACCAACACTTTATTTTTAATTTTCGGAGAGTGATATTACAGTTGTTTAAAATGCAGCTCTCAGAGCGCCTGGGTGGCTCAGTGGGTTGGGGTCTCTGCCTTCAGCTCAGGTCATGATCCCAGGGTCCTGGGATCCAGCCCCACATCGGGCTCTCTGTTCAGCAGGGAGCCTGCTTCCTCCTCTCTCTCTGCCTGCCTCTCTGCCTACTTGTGATCTCTGTCTGTCAAATACATAAAATAAAATAAAATCTTTTAAAAAAATAATAAAAAAATAAAATGTAGCTCTCAAATGTTTTCAGTTGTCTGGCTTCTGGTCACACGGTAGGATTGGATTTCCTGGCCCTTTTGTGGTTAAGTGGGGCCATGTAACTAGTACTATCCATGGAGTCATGAATGGAAGTGACATGTCACTCACATGTCAGCACCTAATTCCTGGAGCAAGACCCTTTCCCCTTTAACATGGCAATTCACAATACTAGAAATAGTGACTGCTCAATTATCCTAAAGCTTTGAAGATTTACGAAGAGCATTTCTGAATTCTAGATGATTACGAAGAGGGTCCTGCCAAGTTACAATAGAAATGTATGCCTGGCAATTGAAATAAGACTTTGCTGTTTGAAGCCCTGAAGCTTTGGGTTGATTTGTTATTGCAGCACATCCTAGCCTCTCCTGACTCAGGCTGGTAGGTTTTAATAGCTGAACTTAACAGAGCATCTGCTTTACCAAGGTCAAATGAAAACACAACAAAAGACAATAAACTCTGCTGAACATTTCTGAATCTTTGACAATTTAGAAAGTCTCCCAGAGCTTCGCATTTCCTCAGGATAGTCATTAGAAGTTTCAATTACCATTATATACTGTGGTAGAAATCTTCTCTGCAAATAGTACAGATTTGTGTTCATATGAATGAGGGAATTCACTGGGCTAAATCCTCTGGAATATTCTGAAAGTAGTTTGGGGAATAAATATCACCTAGTTATTTGTCATTTGTATCATATAAATTGGAGCATATAGACTCTGCAAAGCCTGGCAACAATATCAAGTTCTAACTACATAGAAGTCTGATTTATAATGACATGGGGTTTTGCTGCAGCTTCATCTATTCTCTTGCTCCTTTATCACACCTTATAATGACTACATCAAAAATAGGACACTACCATGTGTGGTTTAGAGACAAGTTAAACTTCTTAGTCTTTCTGTTAAAATCCATATTATAATTTTTATTGGGATATATATAATCTAGAAACAACATGGTAGTATCCTACATTTCGTATTTGTAAGCCACTTTTTGGTTCCATAAAATAAACAGAATATTAACCTGATTACTTACTAAATAATAATAATTTCCATAATATGTCATATTAACTATAAATACCTCCTCAAAGAGACAACACAGGACATCACAGGGCTTTTTTAATTTAGCAGGAAAAGAGCAGCAAATTTTATGTAACCAAGATGTCCAGTCTATGACAGATACACAGCTGAGAGAGACCCCTTGAACTCAAAGCATGTTCACGCCAAGGGAAAAGGAGTGGTGAAATTAACAATGGACTCTGTGTGCTCAGGAAGAGCAAGAGAAGCTTCTCTTTACTCCTGGAACAAAGCTGCATACAAAAAAACTTCCTGGTATTGTAGACCATTCCTAATAGCGCAGAGCTTCTTTCCATGAGGGAAAAGGGGGAAATATCCTTCCATCACTGCCAAAGTAGCACAGGCACTAGTAACTCACATTAACTCCCCTTCCCAATCCCCAGCCATCATTTCTTCTCCATGCAGGTCCCCAGATTCTGGAAGGTCACTACAGTAAATGCCATGATTATAACAATGGACTTAATTGTGATTTGCTAACACCCCACCAAGAGACCCTTGGAATCACTAGTCAACTGCTACATTTCCTCAATTCTAATGCATCTTCAAATTGAAAGATGCACACATTTTTTAACCAACTTGTCAGAAAAAGAAACACTTTCACCTTAAAAAAAAAATCAAGTTTTAGATGCAGCTTCACAAGGGGTTGGGGGGAAAGGCTTGGAGTTTTTCCTTAAAACCAAGAAACTATGGAAATCCTCAATTCTCATTTTGTCCAACCAGTTCACTCACAGCCTTCTCAAGGAAATGACCTGTTCTTTCCCTGAGTTCAAGGTCATTAGAAATGCACTCCTCAACCTTCACTACTGTCTCTACCTCAGAATTTGCGTATAACTTCATAGTGCTGCTTCCATTCCTTCCTGCCTCAGAGGAATAGCACCCCCTTCTCCCTCATGGGCTCTTGCACACCCTTGTCTTCTGGGGGTTTGTGCTTCGGTTGTGGATCTTCAATCCAGCATGCTCACTTCTCCTTGCCCTTGACTAAATCCTGCCCAGCTAGCCTTTCATTTTAAAAATGAAGGCTGCTTCCTTCCCAGACTACCATTATATCACTGTTTCCCATCATTCCCTAGTGCTCTTGAAAGAGTCCTCTATGCTGGCCACCTCCACTTCCTCACCACCCACTCACTCATTAATCCCTTCCAACCTAGCCCCCACCCGGACTCCTCTCTCATAGGTCACCCGCCAGGACCCAACTGCCAAACCCAACAGCTTCTGCTCAGTCTCTCACTGTCCCGGCTCTAGCAGCGTCTGACACCAGTGACCACATGTCTGTGGCATTATTTATTTATACCCTGCCTGATTCCAAACAGGAGAAAAGACAGCTTACAGCAACACATAAAATGGAATGGGAGAGCATCAGCTAAAAATCAGGGGGCCCCCCAAAGGAGAAGGGATTTTAAAAAAGCAAAACTAAAGTCAAAACGCAAAATCATCAGGCGGCAGTCATTCTCAACTGGGGGCCATTTAGCAATGCCTGGAGACATTTTTGGTTTTCACAGCTGGGGAGTGGCCCCTGGGACCTAGAAGGTAGATGTCAGGGATGCTGTCAAGCATCCTGTGATGCAAGGAGAGCCCTTCACAACGAGGAATTATTCTGCCCCAAGAGTTACCAGTGCCAAGCTTGGGAATTTCTGCCGCGTGGCCCATATTACAGCAGCAGTAATAGTAACAACGGTGAATGTTAATTGAGCATTTATTATGTGCGGTCCTTACACGAAATACGTGCAATATCTCTTCTAATCCTCGCAATGATTCCACTTGATGGGAGCCTTTGGAGGCAAATAGGTTTACTCTCTAGCACGGCATGCTGACTTCCCCTCTTAAAGTTTAGATAAATGGAAAAACTGTGGGTTCTAGAAAAGTTACAGGGGGCTTATTGTTCTCAAAGAGGAAAACAAAACAAAAAACAGAATTCAACTCTGATGATGAGCTGTTTCACCAGTAATCCAGAGGCCCCGTATCAAGTGACTATTGTAAAAGCAGCATCCTCCCTCCCCTTTCTGAAATAACAGTCCTGAACATCTGGTGGGCAGGATGTGTCTGGCTGACTTCCAAGGGAAAAGTTAAGGATGGAAATGGCTAATGCTGATGTATTTCAGGGGCTGTGAGGGAAGCAGTTCAAACTATTCAAAGTAGAAAATCGTAATAATGAGGAGGAAGATGGTGATGAAGATGATGCGGCCGTGGTGGTAGTGATGGTGGAGGGGGTTCTCACAATATCTTAGTGAAGAAACAAAGCCTACAGCAGGCGAGATTGCCAAGTGAGAGCTGTTTCCCCGTCAAAAGGCAGCTACATCCCTGGCAGAACAGACCAAAGGATCCCCACACTCACCTGAGAGCAGCCCGGGGCACTGCAGACGAATGGCCTCTCCTGCTCTAAATTCATCTTGGATTCCTCATAAATCTGTAGGGACAGGGGGAGAGGGAGGAAGGAAAACAGAAATCCATGAATATCCCCTGCTTCTACCTAAGAAACTTGAGAAAGGCAATTGCTCGGAGCCCCTTTCTATGCCAATCCCCAAATTAGACAAGATAAACATGAACGCAAGCCTGGGTCCCGCCTTGCTGAAGTTCGCCAGGCTTTCTGCCGACTGCGCTCCTATTGTTTGCCTGAGTGTAGATTTATTGTACTTTGAAGAAAAATGCCATGGGGCTGTTGCAGCAGAAATTCTGCCTCTGGAAAACCACCTGGACTGTGTTATTACCCGTAAGACTGCACCTGAGCAAGAAGATTCCAAAGCAAAGCTCACACCTGTCCTTTGGAGCTGGCTACTTAGAAAAGCAAGGGAGGGGACAATAAACAGGGTTAGCACCAGTGTGGTGACCAACCTGAGCAGCGGTCCAATAATTCAGCCACGATCACCCTGCCAGTCTTTGGGATGTGGGGAGAAACCTTATGTTATAGTCTCTGTCCCATGTTACATTCCAGTGTGCTCCCTTCTTATGTAGGGAGTAGGTTCTAAGGTAAGTTTATTAGGCAAAAATTGAGCGTCATCAAAATTACCTTTACAAGTCTTCCCTAAAACTGACATAAGTACACACATGGTCACTAACCTACAGTAACATAAAACAATGCTTTTTGACAAAACAAAGGCGTTCATTATAGGAACGTTCTCAAATGACTCCAGAGATGTTCACAGGTTTTTATGGCTTTTTTTACATAAAAAAAATTTTTAAACATCACAAAATACTATGGAAATTTAAGTTTCACAATTTAAACCATTTTCTAAATCTTACTTTTTGCTAATTTTACAGTTGAGTTTAAATAAGCTACATGGGCTGCTGGTGGGACATGGCTCTATCGAGGGACTAAAAACTATTGCTTTATCTCTGAAGCACAGGAAGGATTTTGCTTCCTTAAAATGATGTCTGTAGGTGATACCAAAGGAATCGCAAGTCACCTTCACCCTGGAAAGAGGGAACTCTGCTTCTACTCAAGAAATAGCTACCCTTCCTCCAAGGAAGCTTTACTGTCGTGCAAAAAACCCCAGTGCTATTCTGTCGTCACTATACCCTTCCCCCAAACACTAACAGACTTTCTTTGGGGAATAGGTGCATGCTTTCACTTTCCTGAAAGGCAAAGCAAAAAGACATGCCTTAGATAACACTCCTAGTCAGATATTAAAGAACAAAACAAATTTACACACGCAAACTCTTCTTCACGCTGCCTCCTCATTATACAATTTTTACTAAGTACGACCCTTTCCACTCTATGTCTGGAATGACAGCCCACTCACCCATCACCTACCAACACAGTAACTCAGCATAATTTTACAGCTTTCCTGGATCAGGCACACATTGTGTAAATTACTTTATTACATTTAGAATAAGCGAAAAACACAAATATCTTTAGAAGCTTCCCACTTGTCCTTGTCTGAGGAGAGTCATGAGTAATTAAAATAATTTCTCAAATCTCTTTATTCATTTGATTTTGCCATCACTTATCACAAAGCATCTCTACTCTCCCCCGTGAAGGTTGGCTTACATCTAAGCCTCAAAATAAAGGGTTAGAAAGTGATTTTGATCCAAGATAGAAAAACACAGAGTAATTGGGTTATCCATTAATTAAATATGCTTTGTTTTTCTAGTAAATTTTTAAATGCTTTCCTGGAACATTTCTGTCTCTGTGACCATGATCTGCTTAACTACACTGCCTGGTCATTTAACTGCTTTCGACCTCAATTTTCCCTTCTTTACAATAAGCCTATGAACATAATCTTCAGCTCCTTCATTTCTTTTTTTTTTTTAATTAACATATAATGTATTATTTGTTTCAGGGTACAGGTCTGTGAATCATCAGTCTTACACAATTCACAGCACATACCCTCCCCAATGCCCATCACCCAGCCACCCTATCCTTCCCATCCCTCTCCCCTTCAGCAACCCTCAGGTTTTTTCCTGAAATTAAGAGTCTCTTATGGTTTATTTCCCTCCCGATCCCATCTTGTTTCATTTTTTCCCTCCCTATCCCCCACGACCCCCTACCTCTCAAAATTCCTCATAACAGAGAGATCATATGATAGTTGTCTTTCTCTGATTGACTTATTTCACTTAGCATAAAATCACACTGGTCAGTTCGGAGGCCTGTAAGACATGCCCGAATTAAGGAGAAAGGTCTTCATATTTAAGTGTGTGGTGTTTGGAGGTGGGGCAGGGGAGGTTCTGTGAGCAAGTATTACCAGTACTAACATTACCAGTACTAACATTAACTCTTCCCTATTAAAAAGAGAATTTGCTATAAGGTGAGTCTTTCTCAGCTACCACAGAAGAGTTTTAGTTGCTAACGTAACCAAAGAATGCCAACATTAGTAACATTACTAACCAATATTAAGATTACCTGATAGTAAAACGGGAAAGTTCCATATAAATACATTTATGGTATACAGCTAAAAGTAGTAATTAGTGATAATAATTAGATTAGTGCCTAATTAATGGAAGTGGTCAAGATTGGAAGTACCACTACTGAAGGTTAAAAGAGATTCATCAAAAATCCAAAGTGAGGAAAGAGCTCGGCCAAGCCCTGCCAGGTAAGGGTGGAAAGAAAGCATTTTTCTACCATAATCACAACTCTACCCCAAAACCTACTTCACCAAAATGCTGACTTTCCCCATAAATCCAAGCCTATAATGGTAGGAGTACAGCATTTCTGCTTGATATCAACATTAGCTGCTTTATCTTAATTATTGGTTACCATGGGCTGTAACCACGGTGTAATGTACACATGAGCCACAGTGAATACCACCAAATTATTCTACAGTGTTGATGCTTGAAGAAAGAATAAGCTCCAGGCATGCAGATTTACTCTGCCTTACTGAGCCCTCAGAGTATGATATTACATTTAGAGGAATATGACTAATCTGAGAAATATAGTCAGATTTCAAATAGTTTAGATTTCCGTCATCAATATATTCAGCTGAGCGATCATTGTCATTTTACTATTGTATTTTTTTTTTAAAGATTGTATTTATTTGACTGAGAGAGACACAGTGAGAGGGGAACACAAGCAGGGAGAAGCAGGCTTCCGCCGAGCAGGGAGCTCGATCATAACCTGAGCTGAAGGCAAACACTTAACGACTGAGCCACCCAGGAGCCCCTACCTACTACTGTATTTTTTAAACATGAATGAATTGGTATCCATTTATTACACGCTACGGATGCCATGGACCAAATGCTTTGGCAACACAGTGTTGGAATAAAAGTCCTAAGGTAAAACGACAGTTGCTAAAATAAAATGGGCTTAAGCGATTAATAAAGTCTGAGGTGAGTGGGTGTGTATATATAAGTGTGTGAACCTCAACTGCTTTATTTTGATGCACTGCGGTTCCCACATTTCGCCCTCTGCAAACAGCACGCCCTTGCTCATTCCTTGCCGCGTGGGTGTTTGCGATAGTTTTACTAAATGGTACCACTCTACCACACAGGTTTCATTACTTTTATCAACTAGTACGATCTGGTCTGATGTATTAGTGAAGGACCATTGGCCTATTTTTATGGCCTATTATTAAAGTTCTTTCCTAGCAAATAGTGTAATAACTATTCTCTCAACAGACTCCTCCGAAAGCCCTGCAAATACTCTTGCATCATCCATCAAGTGGGGCAAATCCCCCAGCCATGATTTTGGCCACGTTGTTCCGCATTAAGACCTCAGAAGTCAGGCCTCATCCTCTGATTTCCCATTCTGTTGTTTTACCAGCTGGGACATTTTAATGGACCGAGTTTTGTTTGGCAATTGCCATACCCCAGGCTCCACTGCATCGAGCTGACGTGGTAGGCGTTCAATAAATATTTGTGGAATGGATAATGAATCCTGAATCATCATCATAAACCACCCCAAACAGCGTGCCTTTTCTCCACTCCTAAGGCAGTGGTTCTCAAGCTTTTTGGCCCAGAACCAAGTTTTCAGCAAGGCAAGAGGTTGTGCAGACCCCTTATTCCCCCCATTCTTGGTTAGGACCAGAGAAGAAGTTGCACCAGAGTTTGTGGGGGAAAAAAAAATGTTGAAATGGCTTTTGGTGAAAACAACGAGACGAGGCTAGTTTTCATTAAATGTCACGAGCAAATGTATTCGTTCATTATAAATTCAGTCTGTTAGTATTGCCATGGACAGTGAAGCCAGCAAAGTCCAGCCTGTTAGCCATGGACTGGCTCCTTGTGATCCCCACAGAGTACCCATTGAGAAATACTGAGTGACCCCATACATTTGGTTAGATACAGTCATAATTGTGGCAGACACTGTCTAATCATTTAGGAGTTTCTAAATAGTTCTATTTTTTTCTTCCTCTTCTCCAAAGTTCAGATTCAATGCTCACTTAGACCAAATGCCTATGAGTCTAATTTCCCTTCAAATTTTTGGAAAACAACACAAAACCCGAATAACAAACCCTAGTAGTGCATACAGTGAGTAGAGGTTTTTCCTAGTTGACAAGGAGATGACAGGCTTGATTTACAATTCAAACCCTCAACTGCCACTGGATTCCTTGGCCTTGAAATGAGCAAGAATCTCTTTCATTGTTCAGCGTTTGACCCCACAAATTCCTCCTGGTCTAAAATGGGAAATCTTCCACAATGGCTGATGCAATCCACTCAAATGCTTTGCTGGGCCTTTAGAGATATACTTGGGATTACCATTTCATGAAAGGCAAATATTGCAAAAAACAAATGTTACTAAAAACGTGGAGAGTCTGCACCAAATACCGTAAATATGTATTTTAAACAAGGGCAACAACAGAGCTCAAAAGGAAAAGAACCCCATCATCTCGGTTTGTTGAAATCAGCCAGGAGCGCTGCTTCCCTGTCTACATCATTGGAAGCGCTTACTGATCCTTAGTTACCATCCAACTCCAATCTTTGATCTCCAATCTTAGAACGGCACAAATTTCTTTTGAAAACAGCAGATGG